AAGCAGTCAAGAGAAACCCTCCGGGAATGCCACCAAAGTGAAGAACCGTGTCCTCTAGCAAAATGAAGAAAACGAAGGTAGTAAATAAAAAAGTGGTGCTAATATTTCTGAACTAACTCTTATTTACAAATGGTAATGGCTTTAATAGTCTGTTTGCAGTCTGTCTACTTGGCCTGCATGGGACATTTTCAGCTTATGTAAAGTCACTTTATGCTTCTCTTTAAAAAACTATGACCTGGCAGAATTTAAACCCGCGGTCCCGCGGTGTCATCAGAAGGTGCCCACAGGCCCAAGCGCTAGAAAGGATTGAGGTCGAGAAAAGCGAGCAAATGTTGTTATAACTTTTACGATTAACAAACGCTTAAATAGTTTGTTACCTTGCTTCTTTGAAAAACTAGCTAAAGGTGCCACCTCAGGAACTGAAAGAGTAATAATACAGTGTTATTATGCTATGCTATGTAAATACAATGTTAAACACAGCAAATCTGCCTATTCCTGTGTCTACCGCAGCTTTGAAATGCGAGTTCAAACCGTGCTGACAATTTATTTTTCTAATTCAAAGGTGTAATTTTTCATGAATTAAGCTACTCAGTTAAGCAGGAATGCGCTGCTGAGAAGCATTGTTCTTTTTTACAATTATTTTATTCAAATCAGTTGAAAATGAGAAACTACTGTGTCGGTTTTCAAAGGAAACAATCTTCCACTTTATCTCATGCCAATTAAATGCTCTGGCTTATTGAAATGTACATGGTTAAAAATGCGCCGCTTTTAAAGAAGCGATGCGTTTTAGTAGAGGTAAAACATTTCATTCCTCTACAAATAGTCTTTATGGTCTCAGAAAAGAAGTTGTTGAAAAAAAGGACTGCGAGCGCTGCGAGGGTATTTGCTAAGTGGAGGAAGAAATGACAAAAGGTAACACTATGTATAGCTCCTTAAGACTTCCCTGAAGACCAAAGAAGACATGACAATGAGGCGGTATCGCCGACATAGAGAAGGGTTGGGGCTATTGGCTTGGTTTGAAGGCCATTCCACCTAGTGAATGCACAGTGGCAAAGCCTTAAGTGACCGCAAAGCCTAGCCGAAACGTTAAACAAATGGTGCAAGTACTAAGTAATTAATTACCTTCCTCCTTTTGAACAGTTCCCTTGAGGCTCCCACGTCGACCTCCAGAACGAATTTGATGTTGTGAGAGAGACACCCACGAACCAACCGATCCAGTCACCGGATTCTTTTGGAATGCCACTAATTTCTCTTGGCATTTTGCACTTGATCTGGAGTTTTATCCTGTTTAGAAAATGCGTTGCAGAAGAATGTGCA